TACTGGTTTAGCAGTATATTAATCAACATGTAAATGAAACTATATGTGAATTTCCTGAAATAAAATTATTCATTGTTGAAAGATAAATTGTTGTGGTGTTTCATACTTCCTGCTTCAAATCAATCAATCATTTAAAAACGTATAGGCCTACATAAGTTTATACAATGAAATATAATCAATGACAATAATTAGCATCAATAATATTGAGATAAATACTGGTTTAGCAGTATTTTAATCAACATGTAAATGCAACTATATGTAAAGCGTATCAATAATATTAATATAAACTTCGATAGCATTACTGTATAAGAATCATAAAATCAATTAGTTTGATTATCAACATAATAACGTAATAATGTTAAATCATTAAAGTATTAATATTATTAACTTGCAAAAACATTATTAACTTACACAAACCTAATAAAATCCACTGTTTTTCCCAAGAAATCATGGATACAGTAGCAATAGATTACAATAGGGAGGTTACTGTTAACGGTGATTCCTGTTAACCACACCACACAGCATATACACAGCTTTGTGCCTATTTGGCGTTCCATACAAATATATTACGGCCGAACAAGTTTACGGCCGAACCGGACGTAAACCGTACTAGGCTAGTAGCCCTAGCTAGGCCTAGGCCTATTTACCATCATTCACGATTAATAATAATATTAAATAATATCAAACATTTGTCCTTCAAATAAATACATGATGGAATAACACTTCTTCATTATCATGAATAAATTTTCATTTAAAAAGGTATACAACAGCAAGCCTGTATGAGCCTAATAATATAATTAATTATCAATATCACACAAAGGAAACTCTCACCCGTCAGTGTCATGTCAGGGTACGTGCGACTTGTATCGGAAGAAAAGGAAGCCGTTCACGACGCGTAGTAGGCTGGCCCAAGATGTTTTAGAAGAATTTTTGTTGTTGTAATCAGTTCGGCCCAATTTTGGTCTTCTCTTCTTTTATGCGCCTTACTAACTAGCCTACTCCTAGTCCTGAATTCTGTAAACTGATAGTTCAGCCTACAGTCAGCCGGCCGGTCGTACGCATCCACTTCCACGGAAAAGACAAAACAAAATGGATGCGTACTCATCTTATTTATTTTGATCATAAAAAAATAAACCCCATCTCTCTCAACAGAGAGCTGATGAGAGAGAAACAAAATTCGCGGGCCGGGCCACTCAGCTAGTCTCCTCTCATTGGCTGACGGGTGCACGTGACCCTTTTTATTCCGGAGCGCCACCATCGGAATTGAAATTACAGTACTTATTATACAGTACTGTAGGTAGTTGCTAAATACAACGGGTTCAGCCGAGGGGGCGTGGCTTGTATATGGTGACGTCAAGTATAATTAAGCCGTCTACCAAAAAACATCACACTACACTGTGTGACCATTGTGAAATTAGCAAGTCGAGCAGGCTAGGGCTTAGCTTATGTTTTCTCTTGTGCTGCTGCTACGAGCGGGTGAGGGACGATCGAGTCCATTTTCAGACAATTGGCCTAGTAGTATGGACGTTCATAGGTCTAGGCTCCTGGGCTAGGTCGGACCAGGAGGTCTTTTCAGTAGTCTGGTGCCTAGACCTAGATTGTGCGTCCAGCAACCCGCAGCAGTCCGTCTAGGCCTATGCCTCATTTACGTGAAGCTAGGCGCATGCAGAATCTGTTGTAAGACCCTCGCCTAGGCTACTGAAAAATCTGCACTGAATAGGCGCATAATGGGCCTACATAACATTACAATACAAAATACACGACATTGGAAAGTTAATATATTTACTTAAATTACATATATATAACATTCGGTTCCTTTCTCTTTTTCTGGATTATAGCCGGCAATATTGTTTCAAATCAGTGAACACTAAAAAAAATCTGAACTTCAGCAGTCATGTTGTAAAAGTTGTAATTTTAATTTATAAGGCCCTCGAGGTCCCCGACGAAAAAAGTGAACTTCGGACGTCCCTCAATATCCGTCGAAAGTGTTCCTCTTGGCTCCCCACCAACCCCCGAAAAAGAATTGGTTTGAAGGCTTACTTAGTCGATTTTGGTGTCTACTAATATGTAGAAAATACATTACATTTTTTCTCCCCGACGAATTGAGGTTTTTCTCCACGTCAGGGGGTGGAAGAGAAGCCAGATCTCCCCGACGGGGGCCCTGCCCCACCCCCACCCGCTTCCCCTGCTAAGTACAGTGTACTACAGTAGGGCCTAGGTCATTGAATTGTTTTCATTTCTTTCTGTGATTAAGGCATAATCCCTACGGCTAAAATAAGACTAACTATAGGCCTAGACCTATATATTATTTACTCTGTGTAGGCCCAATGAATTGATAATATTTCAGGCATCCTAATTTTTGGAAAGAAAAACACACAGGGACAACTTATTTTTTCTTACATTGGTTGTACCATGAAGGAATTAGTTGTACGGATTGCTATGCTGTGTGATTACAGACAGGGCCCACACTTTGTCGATGAGATTATTACAAAACATAGCGAAGGTTATCCATGACGTCAACATACGAAGCCACGCCCCCTCGGCTGAACCCGTTGTATTTAGCATCTACCAGTACTGTATAAACAAGTACCATACTCGCGAATTTAATCTAATGATTTTAAGGAATGCAACACACTACATTTTCAAAATACAGTAGCGTTAACAATTATTGGGGTTACCGGTATTTACACAAGAGCAGATGAAATTAGTTGCGTTGTTAGTGGTGTGCATGTTTGCCACAGTGGCGTATCAGAGGTCCTGAAATGGGGTGGGGGCGCGAAGGTGGTGAAGTGGGGGGGCTCGATGATCAGTTGAGGGGCGCTAATTCGCAAGATGTTGATTTTGGGTGATTTTTATTTACCTGACCGTGATTGGAGACGACTGGGGGAGGTCATTTTTGGGGAACACAGCCCCTTTTTTTTTCTCACTCAGTAACACTTATTTCGTAATGGTCATAAGAAAACATACATATGAACAATTATTATATAATTTCTTAAAATAAAAGAAAATTAAATTATAACAGACTTGCAGGTAAAAAATGCGAAATTAGACCATCACAGAGATCAAAACTAGAAGTAGAACTTGTCTCATATTGACCACTAAAGTAAAAAAATATAAAAAGTAAAAATATAAATAAAAAAATATAAAAAGTAAAGTGTGATACGGTACGCCACTTCAGATTAGCAGGATTTGCAGGGGTTTCTTCCTTAGATACGAGAGTGATGAAGTCAGTTTATTTTTGTTGGCTGAAAATGACGTGGTGAAGCGGGACTCGCGCAGGGCCTGGGCAACGTGTCTATGTTACCGGAGCACCATTGTGACCGGGTGTCGAAGGCCAGCTTTAGGCAAGCGGCGGCCCGTATAGAGCAGAGTCGATAGGGTTTGGGGCGACTCGTTCCGGGAGCTACGGCCTTTTTCGTATTACGATTGTAATTTACGGTATGAAAGTTTTTCTTAACATTTGTCTGGTTATATTATTAATAGTATTTTTTAACTTTATAAACTGTCTTTCGATGTGAATTTTGATCTGTTTATGGTTGGAGCCTCTCGATAAACAAAGTTTACTTTTAGGTCCGGAATCCTCTCAGGCGTGTTCTGTATTCGCTGTTTTTTATGTTCACTTGAAATAAGAATGAAATGAAGATGCTTAATTAATTCATTGTATAGGCCTATATACAATGAATATTCAACATTTAGCCTAATGCGTCACGGGTTTTGTCGAAATTGGACGATTTTTTTCCCTGCCATTTAGGCTACAGCCAGCCTATTGTCTCCCGTGGCACCTAATGGATCATAAAATGTTTGAAAATATCACTTAAGGATTAGTTTCAAGCTTAAATAATATTAATTCATACGATATTTAATTTAATGTAGACTCAATTCTGACATAATTCACAATAGGCCAATTTAATGCTATGAAAATTATCGTATACTCAACAAGCTTAATTCAAACATAGGCCTACCTAATTGGTATTTACATTATACTTCTCTGAAATATTGTTAAATAGGCAAAGTACAAAATTGCGAAATTGAAAATTCAGAAGCCTTCCAATGCTAAGTGTGATGCGATCTCTGTTCATTCGTATAATAAATAACTGCTTATTGTAATTTAATGATTAGTTTTGTCTTATTATCTGTAAATCAAACGTGATTAACAATTTAGATATCAGCAAAAAATTAATTAAACAGGCCTGTCAGATAAAATGTCTTATAAGCATATTTATAAGCGTATAAAGTTTAATTAAAATAATAATATGTAGGCCTATATCTAAATGAAATAAATAAATAAATAAATAATAATCTACAATTATACACCCGAATCAAGGGCCTGACTAGAGCCTCTGTCTGCGTCTCGGCATAAAAAATAGCCTACATGTGTTCGCGTTGGGAATTTTTTGGGGGATTTTTTTAATACCGCAATATTAGAAATTGACAATCATAAATAACGTTATATGGACGGGAAAATTATCATTTTTGGTCCCGGACGAATAATCGCCCTGAGGCGTTTTTATTGTTGAGAATGGTTTTTGAGGGGGAGTTTATTCGAGGGAGGTGTTTATTCGAGGAAAGCATTTATTTTTTTGTGTAAAATGGACAGGCGCGGCCTACGTACTGTAGGCCTATATACTCAAACGCCCCTTAATTCCACTGTAATTAAAATGTAATTCACTGGAGTAGAACATTAGTAGAAAGTAAATATCAATCTAAGTACTGTACATTTAATTAAATTATTAAAGTGTAATATTATTTATATAGTGACTTAAAAAAGATCATTGGGTCGGAAAGTACGTTTTAATTTAATACAGTAGGCCTATTATAACATCGCTATTCATGATCTTAATGCCGTTAATGTTCTCAAAATCATTGTCTGTATATACATTCTATAATTTTTTCTATCTTAATCATTTTAATAATAAAGTGTAATATTAATAATATAGTGACTTAAAAACGATCTATGGGTCATAAAACTTTGATTTAAATAGACCGATAACAATCGCATAAAATACTCATTCATGAAAATAGAATGCAGCATAAAGTGGTCCATAATGCCGTTAATGTTCTCAAAATTTTTGTGTATTTGTACAGTTTAATATTATTTTCTATTGTATTCGTTTTCCGATATATTTATCAGAATTGTCGTCAGAATTTTGAAAGAAACTTTCGGACCGTAGTCCTCTGGCCTTCATCAGCTTTACTGAATGCACAAGATTGGCTGTTGCAAGTTGTATACTGTACAATATAAAGAATACAATAGTGATGTAGACGGATTATTGGCCAATTATCTAATAGTTTATTCTGTAATACACAAAGTGAAATCCGACAGAGATCAAAGCGGTCAAGTATTGAGATAGTGGTGTTATAGATTATATATATATATATATATATATAAAAACATATATTGCCTTGGTTTGGCTCTGTAATCATTAGTGGTAGTGGGACTAATGATCAAATGGGGAGGTCCACCTAGAACTCCAGATGCCGTGAAGGGGAAAAGCATTTTCGACCTTTTTCGAATTTGGACCTTTTTCGATTTGGGAAGGGATGTTGGGGGTGTACTCACCCACTCATATTAAAATAACGCTTTATTAACATGTACACTTTTGTTCACCTAAAACTCCAGATGCCGTGAAGGGGAAAAGCAGGTTTGACCACAGCTTTGTTATTATAGGACGAACACAGGGGTCCGATAGAGTATTGGTTAAAATGTTAAGATTTAATATTCGCTTTTAAGTTTTATTCCAAAAAAAAAAAAAAAAATGTGTATTCAGAACATTTTCGACCTTTTTCGAATTTGAACCTTTTTCGATTTGAGAAGGGATGTCGGGGAGCGTACTCACCCACTCATATTAAAATAACGCTTTATTAACATGTACACTTTTACATAATGTATTAAATCAATCTGTATTCTATATACCTCATGAAAGTATGAATGTCATAAAGTTTCCAAAAAAGTGTTTTTAATCTAATTTATACTTAATTAGGCTTAACACAGATGCCAATGATAATAGTTTGAAAGGTCAAATCTACCAATCCATTAATAATCGATGTACAATTAGGAACGCCCATTAGGCCGGAGTCCAGCCCATTTCCAATGAGGTCCAATTTAAATATACACTGTCTTGAGCTGAAAGAAAACAATTTAATTCCATCACTGAATAATTATATTTGAGTAAGTTACAAA